GTTGTGCTCGTCACCGGGCACTGGCAGTTCCACATGGAACACGGGCACAGCTCTGGCAGCTCTGATGTCACAGGAGTTGTGAGGCCAGTCCACAGGGGTGGGATGGAGGTCATGAAATGACCGAATCCTTGAGTGGCTTGACTTGGAAGGGACCCTAAAGATCATCTTGTTCCAACCTGACCAACCTTCTACCAGACAAGAGTTTTCAGGCCTGCGTCCAACCGGGCCTTGAATGTGCCCAGGGATGGGGCATCCACAGCCTCTCTGCACAGCCCCTGCAGTGCTTTAAACCCTCTGTGCAAAAAAACATCTTCCTTCCATCCAACCTCATTGATGTCCTTGAGTGTAAAGCCATCCCCCCTTGTCCTCTCCCCACAGGCCCTGCTGAACACTCTGTCCCAGCTTTCCTCTGGGCCCCTTCAGCTCCTGCCCGGCCGCTCTGAGGCCTCCCCAGGGCCTTCTCTTCTCCCTGCTCAGAACCTTCTCATGAGTTCAAGTGGCGGAATTTTGGATAAAATGGGGCCATCATAAAGATGATTTCAGTTGGAAGCTACCAGAAGCTTCTGCTGTTCTATGAAAAAACCAAGGATAGCCAGCTCCAGGATACATTTCCTACTCCTCGCCAATGGCAGTGGCTTCTGTGATAACACGTTTAAGAACCAAGGAAGACAAGGTTGGTGTTGCAGATGAAATTCCGGCCCAGAGGAGAGCAAAGGAGAACATGAGAGAGCAATGCAGACTCCAAGGTCAGTATAGCAGGAGGAGGAGGAGAGGCCCAGGGGCCCCCCTGTTCCTCTCTAGCAGGGAAAAGACTTAAAGCTGAGACCCCTGCTGCCTGTGGAAGATTATTGGGGTGAGGAGAACCCCCCCTGCAGCTCCTGGAGGAACCTACGCTGGAGCAGGTGGATGGATGAGGAGGCTGAGACCCCGTGGGAGGCCTAAGATGAAACAGAGTCTTGCTGGAGCCCTGTATCCCATGGAGAGGGAAACCAACACTGGAGCAAGTTGTCCTGGGAAGGAATTGTGGCCCTGGGGGGGATTTATGCAGGTGCAGCTCGTTTGTGACCCAAGGGACAGCAGATTATGGAAGAACTGTGGCCTAAGGGATGGACCCACACCGGAGAGGTCTATCGAGGGCTGTGTCCTGTGGGAAGGGACCCCACAGGAAACAGGGGAAGGACTCAAAGCCATTGCCCCCTCTAAGTGTGGTGATGACCAAGGTGAAACAAGCTGTCCCCTTGCAGTCCATGAAGGAGTAACCCTCAGGACAGCAGATCAGCAAGAGCTGCTGCTGAAAGATGGACTCAAACAACAAGTGACCCCCCTTCCCTGTTCCACGCTCTGCTAGGGGACGGAGGGAGAACATGGAGGGAAGGGGGGAGTGGAGAGAAGGTGGTGTGTTTTAAGACTGTTTTATTCTTTTACTCTTTAGTTCTTATTTTGT